TTATATTTGAGTCCATCAGTGTTTCAAAGAGATGATTAGGAGACTGAAGGCTAAAACATATAAAGAACTGTTATAGGAATTTGGTATGTCTACTTTAATGAAAAGAAGGAATAGGGGTGAACATGATAGCTATCTTCCAATATCTAAAGGGCTGCCACAAAAGAGATGGAGGGGTCAACCTATACCCCAAAGCACCTGAGGGCAGGACAAGAAGCAATGGGTGAAACTAATCAAGGAGAGAAGCAACCTAGAACTAAGGAGAAATTTCCTGACAGTGAGAATAATTAACCTGCCTCCAGAAGTTTTGAATGCTCCAACACTGGAAGTTTTTAAGAAGAGATTGGACAACCATTTGTCTGGAATGGTATACGGTCTCCTGCTTGAACAGGGGGTTGGACTAGAAGACCTCTAAGGTCCCTTCCAACTCTTTTATTCTGTTAAAAGAAAAGGCTGGATACAACTTAAATTATTAATTGATTGAACTGTTTAATCTTCACTGTTGCATACCTCATCCGCATACATCAGTGACAATCAAATCCAAAGCAGTTGATAGTTCTATTTTAAAAATTCCAGAATTATGAAGTAAGAACAAGCCATTCATTAGTGATGAAAAGACCAAGTTAAAAAAAACCAGAGGTGAGCCGTAAAACACAACACGTTACATTCATTCTTCCCAAAATTAAAATAAGGAAAATCATTTACAAAAAGGCCAGATTTTTTTTCTAGAGGTTATGAATGCCATGCTCCAAAAGAGCAAAATTTGTTCTGTTTGTTAAAAGTAATTTGTCTGCAGAGAAGCTTTGCCCTCGTGCATATTGATTAAACAAAATCGCACTATAACCAACAATGTTTCTCAAACTTAGAGACATTAAGACGTGTGGGCTTCGACTCCCAGAATTCCCCAGCCAGCCTTGCTTTAAGACCTGTGAACCCTTGCTGGCTGGGGAATTCTGGGAGTTGAAGTCCACAGGTCTTAAAACTGCCAAGATTTAAAAACACCGCTGTAAAATATATTTATTTCACTTTCAGTTTCGACATCAAGCAATTTAATCCCAGTGGGTTATATATCCTGGACTTTTTATTAAAACATTAATACCATACTAACAAATATCCAAAGGTTTATAACCCCAAAAGAAGGAAAGGGTGTAACTAAAGAATAAAAAATCCTTTAGACCAGGGATCCCCAACCCCCGGTCTGTGGACCAGTAGCGGGCCGCAGCACACCAGCAACCGATCCGCACGAACAAGCAAAGTCCCATCCATTGGATGCAGGTGGCACACAAAACCACACACCCTCCAGTCTGTGGAAAAAAACTTTCTGCATGGAACCGGTCCCTGGTGCCCAAAAGGTTGGGGACCACTGCTTTGGACTAGTCTATTTCCTTGAAAATGATGCTCAGAGGATAAGGTTTTCACAGTCAGTGAGACTGCTGTGTAACTACAGCTGGGCATAGAAAAGGACACCTCACTGACATTCAGTAAAATCTCAGTGATAAGAAAAAACACAGGAAGCTAATTGGATTTCTAAGGGATGTAAGATAGCCCCGGTGAATTAGATTAAAGGCTACCTATCCAGCTTCTTGTCTTCCATAGTGGCCAACGTATCACCAGGATGCTCATGGTAGTTCATTTCTGCCTTTCATAGCCTGGAGCCTTCAGAGGAGACATGACTGATAGAGTAGATTGATAACTATCAATAAGGAAGGAAAGTCTAGAAGTTGATTGGGAAGATTATTGTAACCTTTGATAAGAATAAGTGAATGTCAGGTTTGGATTATAATAATGGGATAATCAATATATTAGTTATTGGTTTCTCTCAGCTTCTCATTTGGCAAATATGCCATGTTTGACTCATCAAACTTCAGATTTCTCCTTTTTAAAAAAAATAAGACAATAATATAGACTCATTCCACTTGTTTCTAAACATACACCCATTTTCCAATGTAAAGTGTATACGTTTTCTGAAATAATTGTCCTTAATGTAGTGGAATTTTGTGCATTATTTTGATACATATGCACACATGTCCTCGAGTTATGACCACAATTGAGCCCCAAATTTATGTTGCTAAGTGAAACATTTGTTCAGTGAGCTTGCCCCATTTTATGACTTTTTCTTGCCACAGTTGTTAAGTGAATCATTGCAATAATTAAGTTAGTAACCTGGTTGTTATGAATCTGGATTCCCCATTGACTCTGTTTGTCACATGGCCTCAGGACACGGCAACCGTCATAAATACGAATCACTTGCCAAGCATCTGGATTTTGATCACGTGACCATGGGGATGCTACAACGGTCTAAGTGTGAAAAATGGTCATCAGTCACTTTTTTTCAGTGCCGTTGTAACTTCGAACGGTCACAAAATGAACTGTTGTAAGTTGAGGATACCTGTATTTCCCCTGGGCAGTCCTGTGATTGCAGTCTGGGTCAAGGGTAGGCAACCTTGGCTCTTTTATGACTCGTGGACTTCAACTCCCAGAATTCCTGAGCCAGCATGGGGGAACTATGGCCCCTTCATGACTCGTGGACTTCAACTCCCAGAATTCCTGAGCCAGCATGGGGGAACTATGGCCCCTTCATGACTCATGGACTTCAACTCCCAGAATTCCTGAGCCAGCATGGGGGAACTATGGTCCTTTCAGGACTCGTGGACTTCAACTCCCAGAATTCCTGAGCCAGCGTGGCTCAGCTTGGAAACCTCTCCTTTTCCCCTCAGCATGTCTGGCTCAGGAATTCTGGGAGTTGAAGTCCACGAGTCATAAAAGAGCCGAGGTTGCCTACCCCTGGTCTGGGTGCTTGGCAACCTGGTCGTACAGAGCACTTAGCCATTGGTTGTAAAGTGTGACTTGGTTGCCAAACACCCAGACTGCAATCACGTGATGACTTGCCCAAGGGAATATTATGACATTTTGTGACAGTTGGAAGTGTTTCACAGGCCATAAAGCACCTTTTCCAAAGGCTGCTGTAACTTTGAACAATCATTAAGCGAATGGCTTTTTAAGCAAGGACTAACTTATAAATCACTGAAAGAAGTTAGTATCACCTTGGAAAGTTTTATTTTGTTTCACAAGGCTTTCCCTTTTTCTTTCTTTTCACTCCACAGTTAACAGAGCCTAGGTATTTGTCTGGAGTTTTTATCCTTGTGCAATTAACAGCTCTCAAGGCTCTTTTAAGGTGTTTTGTTTTGTTTTATTTTTTTAAAAAAAGACTCTTATTTGAACAACTTGGCTGAAATGATTACAGTTCTAATCCCTTTGTCGTCGTTTTAAATGTCTGTATTCTGAAATAAAGGTGGCTGCGGCCTTGGTTTTCTCAGCCATGACAACCTCCTACAATAAAGCACTTTTGAAATTCCACGAATATCTAAGCATTGTTAAATGCAAGACAATGGCAAGATGTTGGAATCCATGCTTGGGGCCCTTTCACATTCTGGTTTCCAGGCAGGAGTCTTAAATAATTTCACTCGGCAGAGGGTTTTCAACCCCATCAAGCAACCATTTCTGAAAACTGGATTGGATAAATTCACAGAGGGCAATAGCAAGAAAGGTTATATTCCTTGAAATGACATATTCTTTTGTGGAAAGAAAAGTCTTCATCATGGTTCAGTCCAAGCTGGAGATAAACAACATGGCGACTGCTTTAGAAAGAAGGTTGCGGTTTATTGAAGAGGAGAGCCAGACAGGAAGATGGCTCTGGAAGAAAAGAGAGAGAGCACATGTAGGGAGTGGGTTTTTATACCCTCTGGAGCTTTTGTTTGGAGTTGTTTCCTGTTCCTGTTTGAGGCTATTTCCTGTGTCATGTATTCTGATCTGAGTCTGAGTGTGCCCTTTGGCATCTGTGGGTTAATCCTATTATGTCCTGTCTTAGAGTTTGGGTGGGGTATGTAGATTTTAGGAGTCTTTGTCTTCCTAAGCTTCTAGCTTTGACCTTCCTTGTTGGTTTACATCTGCATTTCTACAGAGCTGGTTTCTGCTTGGGGGAGGGAGACTTGGGACTATTAAGAAAACTGGGCATGCTTTTCTGCCTCTTTAAGATCCTTTGAGGAAATATATTTTTCTGCCCTTTTAATATTTTCTTCTCTGGGGGGCTGATTTCCCACACTTTCTAGGTCAGAGAGACCACAGCTTCCAGATAACGATGGCAGGTGAAAGTAATAGGGAAATAAACAGCCACATCTACTAATGAGCCACGAGAGGTGCCTTATTAGCTACTATAAGAAACATAAGTTGGCATTGGACAGATTCAGTAGGATGTTCTTCATTCTTGTGGTCTGAAGCCCCTGGATTCCAAGTTTTAGTGGCCTCTCATTAGAGACTTCCAACCTATTGGAAGGAAGGATGTTAGTTGGTCTAGACCAGGGGTCTCCAAACTTGGTAACTTTAAGACTGGTGGACTTCAGCTCCCAGAATTCCTCAGCCAGCCATGTATATACACACACACACACATATACATATGTGTGTGTGTGTATAGAATAGAATAGAATAGAATAGAATAGAATAGAATAGAATAGAATAGAATAGAATAACTATGTTGTGTAGTATGTTCTTTTTAGCTATGACTCCTGGTTCAATCCTTTTAGTGTTGCTTTGGGCATTTAGTTCTTGATTCTTGGCTCCTTTTGGATACTTGCTAATGGCTCAATTTGGGCAGAGTAGGAGTGGATGGCGATCAACATCTCCTCCTTCCCACGGTCTCATCACAATGAAGAGCCAAATTCCATAGCTAAGGGAAAAAAAACAGATCCAAGATTTTAAATGTACATATTTGCTGTCAAGATATGCCACTGAAACATGATAGAATAGAATAGAATAGAATAGAATAGAATAGAATAGAATAGAATAGAATAGAATAGAATAGAATAGAATAGAATAGAGCTGGAAGGGACCTTGGAGATCTTCTAGTCCAGCCCCCTGCTCAAGCAAGAGAACCTATATCGTCTCAGACAGGTGGATAAAGAACTGTGTTAATTGATTCTTAAAAATGTTCCTCTTTTCTCCTCTAGGCTGCATGTCGATGGTCCCTTTGGGAGCCCTTTTGAAGAATCTTTCAATTATGAAGTCAGCCTGTGCATAGCTGGAGGCATTGGTGTGACTCCATTTGCAGCTGTCTTCAATACCCTGCTGTATGTAAGCTTCATTGCCTTAAAAGTTGCCCCCATGTCACCCCAAGATCTTCTACCAAATACATTTCGCAATAATGAGATTCCTCCTGGAATATAAAAAAAAACCAACATGATTTTTATTCAGCAACATTTACACATCGGGGATCTTAAAATCTGTGCAGAAATTTAAAATCCTGGGGCCTGGGAGCTCCGGTTGGCATGACCCCATCAAGCAGGGGCATTTGCAGTAAACTCCAGCCTTCCCTTCTGAATGACTTGAAAACTTGAGTTTCCACTGTGTGGACTGGGAGAATAAAAAGAAAGAAAAGAGAGGGGTGAACGGAGTATAAATGGTTCACCAAACAATTTTACCTTGCAGTTTTCTTGGTAGTAAACTCTATTGCCAGCAGTTTCTCCTACCCTGCTAGTTCGCATGTCAAACTGGGATTGCAAATATGTGGATGGAAATGTATAAATGGGTAGCAAAGTGGTTTTATTTAAGCTTTATCTCATTTGATTGAATTGCTGCAATCTCCAAGAGCAATTCTTGTAATAAACCTAAAGTATTCATGTATATTTATTAATTGCATTTCTGGCCAGCAGTGAACAATACAAATTAAAGTTAGTGCAAAAAATGTAAGATAAAGGTACAGACTATTGTAACACCCCCAAGGTAGCTCAAGCTGAAGGCACCACTTCAGCGATGTGAGTGAGGTGGGAGCTGCATCTACTTCTAGAACAGACATGTCAAACTCGCGATGTCATGCACGACGTATCGGAACTTTTTCAACATTGCCGGCAATGATGGGCACAGTTTCCTCGTGACGTGTCCGGCCCATGGGCCGGCAGTTTGACACCGTTGCTCTAGAAGAAGGAATTCCACAAAGTAGAAAATATTTCTGAGAAGGTCTCATGGAATCTAAGCAAATTCTTTATAGATGCCTAGGCTGGATAGCAGATTCAGTTCTGGCCACCACTGCCTGGTGTTGTACTCTGTAGAACTTTAAAAGTGACAACCAAGAATTTGATTTGGGCCCAAAACTTAGTGGCAACAATGCAGCAACTTTAAAATAGGGGTCCTTCTAGACTGGTGGTGTTGTCTCACTAGCCATCTCATTGTTGCCTGCTGTACCAGCTACATCTTCTCAGAGCAATGTCTCCAAAGAAATTTTAAAGAGCCTTGGAGGCACAGTGGCCAGAATGCAGTATTGCAGGCAAACTCTGCCTACTGCCAGCAGTTTGATCCTGATCGGCTCAAGATTGATTCAGCCTTCCATCCTTTTGAGGCTAATAAAATGAGGACTCAGATTGTTGGGGGCAATAAGCAGACATTGTAAAGTGCCCAGAGAGTGCTCTAAAGCAGGGGTCCCCAGCCCCAGGTCCATGGACCAGTACCAGGCCATGGCATACCAGCAAGCAGTCCACACAAACAAGCAAACCCCCATCCGTGGGATGCAGGCAGCACACCAAACCACGCACCCTTCAGTCCGTGGAAAAACCTCTCTCCACAGAACCGGTCCCTGGTGCCCAAAAGGTTGGGGACCTCTGCTCTGAAGTACCATGGGTGGTATATAAGTCTAAGTGCTATTGCTATTAAAGTGCTCCTTCATTTTTAACTAGTGATTTCTTATTGCCTCTCCCCCCAAAACCTGGTCCGTATGTGAAGGGATGACTGGAAGCCCTACAAACTCAGAAGGCTTTACTTCATTTGGGTGTGCAGAGACATCTTGTCCTTCCACTGGTTTGCGGATCTGCTCTGCAAATTGCACAACAAGGTAAGGAGGAAGCAGTGTCATGAAAAATAATTGCCAATTGTCTTGGGACTGGTGGCCAGATATTAGGGATGGATTAGGCTCAGTTAACCATCTCTTTGAATTGGCATGTTTCCTTTGCACAATTTGTTGTTGTTAGTTGCGAAGTCATGTCCGACCCATCGCGACCCCATGGACAGCATTCCTCCAGACCTTCCTGTCCTCTACCATCTTCTGGAGTCCATTTAAGCTCACGCCTACTGCTTCACTGACTCCATCCAACCACCTCATTCTTTGTCGTCCCCTTCTTCTCTTGCCCTCCATCTTTCCTAGCATTAGGCTCTTCTCCGTGAGTCCTTCCTTCTCATTAGGTGGCCAAAGTACTTGAGTTTCAACTTCAGGATCTGGCCTTCTAAAGAGCAGTCAGGGTTGATCTCCTCTAGGACTGATCAGTTTGATCACCTTGCAGTCCAGGGGAATCGCAGGAGTCTTCTCCAGCACCATAGTTCAAAGGCCTCATTTCTTTGGCATTCAGCCTTTCTTATGGTCCAACTTTCACAGCCATACTGTACATTGCAACTGAGAAAACCATGGCCTTGACTATACGCACTTTTGTTGGCAGGGTGATGTCTGCTTATACTCTGAACCAAATAGGCTGTGTCTCCATAGCGTACTCAGCCTCCCCGACCCAATCCAAATCTAACTAAAGTTGAACCCTAACTCCACTTAGCATTGATGCAGTTATTAGGATTTTAATTGTTCTGGTTAAAAATGCAATGGGATCTCAGTTGATATTTTGGACTCCATGGGACAAACCAACCCTGTATCTTGGAACTCTTAAAAGGTAGCTTCTGACCTGTTCAGGATGGGCTCTAACTGTTAGATCAGAGACCGAGGCTGTTTTTTTGGGGTTTTTTTGAGCAATGTGTTCCTGGTTCTGTTGTGTAGCTATGTTCTTTTTAGCTATGATTCCTGGTTCAATCCGATTAGTGTTGCTTTGGACATTTGGTTATTGATTCTTGGCTCCTTTTGGATACTTGCCAATGGCTCAACTTGGGCAGAGTAGGAGTGGATGGCGATCAACATCTCCTCCTTCCCACAGTCTCATCACAAGATTTTAAATGTACATATTTGCTGTCAAGATACGCCACTGAAACATGATAGAATAGAATATAGAATATAGAATATAGAATATAGAATATAGAATATAGAATATAGAATATAGAATATAGAATATAGAATATAGAATATAGAATATAGAATATAGAATATAGAATAGAATAGAATAGAATAGAATAGAATAGAATAGAATAGAATAGAATAGAATAGAATAGAATAGAATAGAATAGAAGGGATCTTGGAGGTCTTCTAGTCCAGCCCCCTGCTCAAGCAGGAGAACCTATACCATCTCAGAAAGGTGAATGTCCAGTCTCTTCTTAAAAATCTCCAGTAATGGAGTGCCCACAATTTCTGAGGTTGATTGTCCTCACTGTCAGGCAGTTTCTCCTTAATTCTAGGTTGTTTCTCTCCTTGGTCAGTTTCCAACCATTGTTTCTCGTTCTTCCCTCTAGTGCTGCCATCTAGCTCTTTCTAGAGAGTGAGTTTGATGATAGAAATGCTTTGTTTCCACAAATACAAAAAATTGCTAATTCGCTTTTTTTTCCTACTATGCACAAGCTCTGGCAAGAAAACCGACCAGATTTTATCAATATTCAGCTGTACCTCAGTCAAACAGATGGGATACAGGTATGTAGTAAAATACAGTGGGCAGCTGAACTGTTAGTTCAAAGAATACTTGAAAAGACACATCTAATAAAGGTCAAAAGGTTGCCTTAAGTACCATGGGTTCTCCGCTGTTGCTGGGAGCCTGAGAAATGGAATTGAAGCAATGAGTATTCTATCGTTGATGGAAAATACGTAGGTGACATGATACATTAGTCCAGGGATGGTGGTCTGTGGCTATATGTGGGCCACTTCAGCAACAAAATGTTGATTTTCAACAGAGTGATTGTTTTTGCTTTTGTTTTAAACTAAGTATGCTCTTATTACACCTAAGAGAACCTGTTTAGTTTAGAGCAGGGGTAGTCAACCTTGGCTCTTTTATGACTCGTGGACTTCAATTCCCAGAATTCCTGAGCCAGCTTAGCTGGCTCAGGAATTCTGGGAGTTGAAGTCCACGAGTCATAAAAGAGCCAAGGTTGACTACCCCTGGATTAGAGGTTTAATCTAGAAACCAGGAAATGATGAGTTCTAGTCCCACCTTAGGTATAGTAGCCAGTTGGTGACTTTGAGCCAATCACCAGGACACTGTGAGTTCTAATCCTGCCTTAGGCATGAAAACCATCTGGATGGCTTTTGACCAATCACCAGGAGACGGTGAGTTCTAGTCCCACCTTAGGCATAGTAGCCAGTTGGTGACTTTGAGCCAATCACCAGGAGACTGTGAGTTCTGGTCCTGCCTTATGCATGAAAACCATCTGGGTGATAATGTCAGGCTAAATTCCTGTTGTAAACAATGGATCAACACTTTGATCTGAAAAAGGGGACCCTACACTTGTGGGAAAATGCTAGGAAGAAAAAAAATGCTTTTTAATTATATCTTCAATGCCCTGCCTTAGATGCTAGTCATCCTGATTGTCAGACTAAACTTAAAGAAGGCAGCAATAGATAGATAGCCGGTGACAAGTGGTGTGGATAGCTGCCCTTCAGAAGAGGATTTTTCAAAATGTGTTCCACAGAATCCAAGACTCCTATGAAAAATTAAACTGCCAATTTTCTATTACTTGAGCTTTGCTTCTTGAAAAGATGTTCTGGGATTTATTTATTTATTAAAAAATAGAAACAGGTTCTGTAGCCTGAAAATCTTAGAAACCTCCTGTTCTAGAATATCTTGTCAATACCGGGAAGCATTGGCAAAGAACAACACTAACAATTGAAGAATTCTTCATTTAGATCAGTGTTTTTCCAAACTGGCAGCTTTAAGATTAGTGGTCTTCATTGTGCGATCTGTGGATTCTGGTTGTTAAAGTCCATACACTTTAAAGTTGCCAAGTTTGAAAAACACTGATGTAGATTACCCACAATGCCTAGTTGTCTAGACCAGGTATACTCAACCTCGGTCTTTGGCCCGGTACCGATCCACAGCCCCTTTGGGAACCGGGCCACACAAGCAGCGGGTGAGTGCACGAAGCTGCACTTGTGCAAGAGATGCACGTGTGTGCGAAACCATCCCCCCCGCCACTGTTGCCAGTCTGCAGAGCCAGAAAGGCTGGGGACCACTGGTCTAGATCGGGTAGGCAACCTTGGCTCTTTTATGACTCGTGGACTTCAACTCCCAGAATTCCTGAGCATGGCTGGCTCAGGAATTCTGGGAGTTGAAGTCCACGAGTCATAAAAGAGCCAAGGTTGCCTATCCCTGGTCTAGATACTCTAAGCTTTTTGGAATAAGATCTGTTTTCTGCAAGATACTAGATTAGACCTAGGAGAGTCCAGTTATTTGTAGTCCAGTGTAATATGGGACCCTCCCAACCCCATTTTAGCTGAATCTAATATGTTATGCAAGTTATCTGAAACAGGTGATAGCATTAAGACATAATATTATTTATTTCTTGGGGAAATATATGCTACATGAACACCTGTCGTGTGAGCTCAACCTATTTTTCCCTGCCGAGAAATGGGGAAAGCAGATCCTACAATGGATTTGCCAGGGCACCAAAGTCTCAACAGATACCTAAGGAAGCTGTGCATTTGATGCAGGAGAATGTTCATATACCCAGATGCACACGCGTGTATGCATGCATGCATGCACAGACACATATTAACCGATGAATTTAACTGAGCATCGGTGCATTGAGTTGTCCAGATGATTCTTAGACTGACATTGTAAAGTGGAGGTTGATTGATCGGCAGCAATCTGCAAAGTGCACCCACGAGAATGTCTTGGTTGTTTTGTTTTTTTTGTTTGTTTTTTGCAGAAAATAATTGGCAAGAAATATAAAGTGCTGAACCGCCGGCTTTTTATCGGACGGCCACGATGGAAACTCCTATTTAATGAAATAGCCAAGTATAACAGACAGTAAGTAAGATTCCCAACTCAGTTTATGCAGCAGCTTGAGGAATGCGAAGGGGAGGTTTAATAAACTGCATTTGTATGGAAATGCGTTTGGGTTTAACACGTTCATTTAATGCCAAAGCACCTGATGCTTGCTGTTATCTAATATGTTGTATCTTGAGAAATGGAGTTTTAACAAAGAACTGTCAGCTTCCACAATCAAAGTACTTCATCTTCCCAGTAACCAGGCAGCTGGTGGGAGGGGTGGGGAGGAAACTCTTCTGTTTCAACATCCATCAAAGGTGTTGCACTTTCTGTTATAATTTCCATACCTTGGCCTAGTTTGCAGTCCATGATGCTTTGGCGCTGGCACCTGTCTCGTCTATTGTTATCATTTCTTGAGTTTGTTAGCATAGGACAGTGGTGGCGAACCTATGGCACGCGTGCCAGAGGCAGCACTCAAAGCCCTCTCTGTGGGCACACGGGCCATGCCCCAGAGATGGCAACCCTCCCTCTTCAACCAGCCGCCCGCTAACTCGCCGAGGTCCCACATGGCCAGATGCATCCCAGCACCCATGCGCTCGCTGGCCTCTGTGTGCGGGGGCCAATGGTGTCAGGCAGCAACCGCCCTGGCCCCTGCCTCGCCTTGCCCTGTGACAATGGCACCGCTGCCCTGCCTCGCCTTGTCTCACCTCATCCCGCAGGACGAGACTCCTGCCCACTGCCCCACCTGCCAGAGACCCCCTGGATCTCCCCCAACCCTGCCTGGCCCCCACAGGCGTCCCTCCCCACGAGCAACATCAAGGTGATCACGCCCACCTTGGCCACAGCCACCCAATCTGCCATGACCACCACAGCCACGCCCACCCAGTGGGCCACGCCCACCTGGCACCCAGCGATAAATAAGTGGGTTTTGGGTTGCAGTTTGGGCACTCGGTCTCTAAAAGGTTCGCCATCACTGGCATTGAAAAAGATCTGCAATCCTTGGGGAAAATTTCCTGCACGGATCTCTTGAAGTGAATGGGAGCTGATTGTCGGTAGCCCTTTCCACTTTACATCCCTATTTAGGTGGGACTTGTGTAGGGGAGAGTAGGGGAGAAGCTGGACGTATTGTCTTTCGGAAATAGAATTGTTGTGGAGTCAGGTGGCCCTGCGCATTCTCTAATTGTGTTGCAGAAATGCACATGAGAATGTAAACATTGTCTTGCTGGATCAGGTCTAAAGTCTATCCAACCCAGCACTCGGTTTCTGAGACCAGCTAAGCATATGTTGCTTCTTGGTCTTTTGGATAACAAAATAACAATAACAGAGTTGGAAGGGACCTTGGAGGTCATCTAGTCCAACCCCCTGCTCAGGCAAGAAATCCTATACCATTTCAGATAAATAGTTGTCCAGTCTCTTAAAAACTTCCAGTGTTGGAGCTTTCACAACTTCTGGAGGCAAATTGTTCCACTAGTTAATTGTTCTCACTGTCAGGAAATTTCTCCTTAGTTCCAGGTTGATTAGTTTCCATCCGTTGCTTCTTGTCCTTTGTGCTTTGGAGGGTAGATTGACTCCCTCTTCTTTGTGGCAACCCCTGAGATATTGGAAGACTGCTATCATGTCACCCCAAGTTCATGAAGTATCCACACTGGTTAAAGAATAGGCTTTGTGGCAGCCCCTCAAATCACTGGAGGAACGGTCTCAGAAACCACAGGGGGGGGGATGAGTGTGTTTGTGTGTTGTAAGAGAGCTGGCTTGGGGATGCTGCAAGGGTCGTAAGTGTGAAAAACGTCACTTTTTCAGTGCCGTTGTAACTTCGAACGGTCACTAAACAAACTGTTGTAAGTCGAGGACTACCTGTAATCCTCTCATCCCAGTTATCCTTTCTTTCTCTACCTTGGACTTGTCAAGGTATGTTAGATCGAAATATCTTTCCCCTCAAATCACTAGAATCAGAACTCTGTTAATAATAATCGAGACTGGAAATGGACTTAACAAAGAACAAGTCTTGAGTTCTGATATTTGTTGAGAGAATGGTTTAAGTGACACCACGTGAATCCCACCGAGTATTTTGGGCTCCAGAGGTGTGAGATTATGACTTCCAGCATTTCCAGGTGAGAAGGTGTGGCTCGAAACATCTGGAGGATGCAGGTGAGGAAGGCTGGCTCATTAATGCTGTATCTGCAAGTAAATTACTAAAGGAGCTGTTAGAGCAGGGGTACCCTAAGTCACTTTGTTAGTACCGTTCTAACTTGGACCAGTTGCTAAGTAAATGGTTGTAAGTTAAGGACTATCTGTATTTGACTAGGTCAGGGGTAGGCAACCTTGGCTCTTTTATGACTCGTGGACTTCAACTCCCAGAATTCCTGAGCCAGCCATGCTGAGGGGAAAGGGAGCGGTTTCCAAGCTGAGCCATGCTGGCTGAGGAATTCTGGGAGTTGAAGTCCACAAGTCATAAAATGGCCAAGATTGGGGACTCCTGTGTTAGAGGACAAACTGATTAGACGATTGAGCTCCCCTCCCTCTCCCAATTTATATATTTGCAATTTCTCTGAATAAATGAGCGTTCTGTTTGTTGTTAGTCAGGCTGTGGGATCCAGGCCCAAACATCTTTTGTACTTAACAGGATCTTTTCCGATGTGAAAAGGCTGTCTTTGGTCTCAAGAAATGAAGGTTTTTTGTTTTTTTTTAATGCGTCTTGTATTCCCTGTTGAAAACACACAAGCCAAGTCGATTTGTTGGCAAACCTATTGTCTAGAAATCCAATCCTTTAGAAGCATTATCCACTCCAACCTCCCAGTGGCGAATTTGTAATTAATTGCATGTTGCGTTTCCCTTGCCCCTAATCTCAGAATGTGGTATGTGTGTTTGTGTGTCTGTGAGTGCAAGGAAGGGCTGCAGTACAGATGTTTTCTCAGTGGGACACTTATCAGCAAGGCTTTTCGTGGCACTTGGGTAGCTGTTCAAGGTTGTTGGTGCTGATTCCAAACACAACGGTAACAACGGAAAGTAACCAAAGAGAGAAGCAACCTAGAACTAAGGAGAAATTTCCTGACAGTGAGAACAATTAACCAGTGGAACAACCTGCCTCCAGAAGTTGTGGATGCTCCAAGCCAGCTCTCTTACAACACACAAATCCTGTGGTTTCTGAGACCGTTCCCCCAGTGATTTGAGGGGCTGCCACAAAGCCTATTCTTTAACCAGTCTGGATATTTCATGAACTTGGGGTGACGTGATAGCAGTGTTCCAATATCTGAGGGGCTGCCACAAAGAAGAGGGAGTCAAGCTATTTTCCAAAGCGCCTGAAGGCAGGACAAGAAGCAACGGATGGAAACTAACCAAGGAGAGAAGCAACCTAGAACTAAGGAGAAACTTCTTGACAGTTAGAACAATTAACCAGTGGAACAACCTGCCTCCAGAAGTTGTGGATGCTCCAACACTGGAAGTTTTTAAGAAGAGACTGGACAGCCATTTGTCTGAAATGGTATAGGGTTTTCTGCCTGAGCAGGGGGTTGGACTAGATGACCTCCAAGGTACCTTCCAACTTTATTATATTATTATTATTATTATTATTATTATTATTATTATTATTATTATTATTATTATTATTATTATTATCATCATCATCATCATCATCATCATCATCATCATCATCATCATCATTATTATCTGTTGTTGCAGTAGAGGCAGTAATTTATATAATATAACTGATAAGAGATTTTTTTTAAAGAAAGAAACATAAGGGGAGGTAATATATACCTGTACAGGTAGTCCTCAACCTCTGACCATAATTGACTAAACTTTCTGTCGATAAGTGAGATAGGTGTTAATTGAGTATTGCCCCATTTTATGACCTTTCTTGCCACAGTTGTTAAGTGAATCGCTGCACTGGTCAAGTTAGTCACATGGCTGTCAATGTGGCTCCCCCATTGACTTTGCTTGTCAATTTGGCAAGGTCACATGACCCCGGGATGCTACAACTGTTATAAATATGAGCCAGTTGCCAAGCTTCCAAATTATGATCACATGAAGCATGGGGGGATGCTGCGATGGTCGTAAGTGTGAAAAACAGACATCAGTCATTTTTCCCCGGTGCTGCTGTAACTTGAAACAGTCTCGGTTTACAATGTAAGCATTATTTGCCTGTTGCCCCCAACAATCCGGGTTCTCATTTTATCGATCTGAGAAGGATGGAAGGCTGAGTCAACGTTGAGCCCCCGTCAGGATCGAACTCCAGGCTGTGGGCAGAGTTTGCCTACAATACAGCATTCTAACTACTGTGCCACCATGGCTCCCTTCCTTCCTTCCTTCCTTCCTTCCTTCCTTCCTTCCTTCCTTCCTTCCTTCCTTCCTTCCTTCCTTCCTTCCTTCACACTTAGCAACAGCACTTAGACTTACATGCTGCTTCACAGTGCTTTACAGCCCTCTCTAAGCGGTTTACAGTCAGCCTATTGCCCCCCAACAATCTGGGTCCTCATTTTACCGATCTGAGAAGGATGGAAGGCTGAGTCAGCCTTGACCCCCGTCAGGATTGAACTCCAGGCTGTGGGCAGAGTTTGCCTGAAATAACTGCTTTCTAACCACTGTGCCACCAGGGTTCTGCTCTGCTGTGGCTCGGTTCCACCAGATGCTAAAAGAGGCAGCCAAATTAGCTTGCTGGGGAATTAAACACCTGGCCTTTTTAAAAAGATTAGCATATTTTTAGCACGGTACAAATGTTTTTAGGCAGGAAACCATTCCATTGGATTTTTTTTTTCCCCATCCTGCTTAGTTTAGCTGTGTCAAGCAAAGGACTTGCCACCTACTGGCACCTAAATAGCTTGCACTGAACATTGTAGGGTTTTTCTGGCGTCCTTCCACCCTCTTTTTTGCAGCTCCACATTTGAATGGGTAACATTATTATTTTATTATTTATATTTCTACCCCGCCCTTCTCCCTACGGACCCAGGGCGGCTTACAGCCTTTTAAAAACAAATACATAAATATAATAATACTAAAGTTAAAATGTTAATTTAAAATGAAATATTATTATAAGGCCTATT